GAGGACGAGGACGAGGACGAGGACGAGGACGAGGACGAGGACGAGGACGAGGACGAGGACGAGGACGAGGATGAGGATGAGGACGAGGACGAGGACGAGGACGAGGGCGAGGTGATGATAAGGAAGATGAAGTTGGTAGCTGTTGTCAAGGAGAACCAATTGCAGGCGCCTACCAATCATCCTGCTCACCAGCGACGTGCCACTTTACACACTCATGTTTCCTGTTCCCCACCGACACGGTGCCACGCAAGCGCACTTTCCAGCACCAAATCGCATTGCGCAGGGACATCATAGACGTAGTTTCGCCGCGCTGTGCGGGACGGATCAGGTGTAACCATGTGGCCTCAAGCCCCATTGACACCACAAAGCATCCCTCTCACCTGCAGCGGGCACGCCGCGCTTACACACACACACACTTGAGATATTGTGTACGGAACTGAATGCGGTGCCACACGCCGGCCTAGGGTTCCATTTCCTAAGAATACCAGTAGGAAGCCATCGAATCCTGGAGGTCTTAAAAGGAAAGGAGGCCCAAAGCACAAGGTCGAGATCGGCGATCAGGTCGAAGTGACGACGTTCCGTGCATGTCTGCAGAAGGTCAAGCTCAACTCAGCAAATCTTAAAAATTAAGCAGGTACGTCAGAGTGGCCAACTCTAATTTCACCAGATCAAATGGGCGTCTTCGTTGGTAGCGGTCCCAAGTGATCTGCCGCTACCCCCTGCGATAAAACAAGTTAAAATCCAAAAGGATCCGTATGACTCCAAGGGTTACACACACACGCCTCCCCGAAGGGAGGCAAGATTTTAAGCTTGAAAAACTAAGGCTCCCACAGGTCCCAATGGACCTCCCCTGCGATAAAACAAGTTAAAATCCAAAAGGATCCCTATGACTCCAAGGGTTACACACACACGCCTCCCCGAAGGGAGGCAAGATTTTAAGCTTGAAAAACTAAGGCTCCCACAGGTCCCAATGGACCTTGAACAAACTTCGGCCGCTGCGGCCACGTACGCCGTGCCAACTTGGCTGGCTGCTTTGACCGCTGCGGTCACGTAAAGGCATGAGCCAACTTGGAATTCCAAAGATGGGACAAAATCATCGGACGTACGGCCTAGGCCACCTGCTGTCCGCTCCGGACACCTACCTCTCCAAAGCAAGGGAGAGAAAGACACACACCCGTTCGACGGGTCCACGGGAGGCACTCTGCGGGCTCATCCCGGGTTGGCGCGAAGCCAAACACACTTGAGATATTGTGTACGGAACTGAATGCGGTGCCACACGCCGGCCTAGGGTTCCATTTCCTAAGAATACCAGTAGGAAGCCATTGAATCCTGGAGGTCTTAAAAGGAAAGGAGGCCCAAAGCACAAGGTCGAGATCGGCGATCAGGTCGAAGTGACGACGTTCCGTGCATGTCTGCAGAAGGTCAAGCTCAACTCAGCAAATCTTAAAAATTAAGCAGGTACGTCAGAGTGGCCAACTCTGATTTCACCAGATCAAATGGGCGTCTTCGTTGGTAGCGGTCCCAAGTGATCTGCCGCTACCCCCTGCGATAAAACAAGTTAAAATCCAAAAGGATCCCTATGACTCCAAGGGTTACACACACACACACTTTGTCACAGGGTTTGCAGTTTCCACAATCCACAGTGAAATGAATGAGGGAACGGAAAGGCGCAAAATCGGCTGAACAGAAATGTTTAACAATGCTGACGCGTTAGCGCTTTACTGAATACTTGGCAGACAAAAAAGGGGAGATTTAGGGGAAAAACGTTAGAACCACCATGAGAAGCAAACCAAAAGGAGAACAGCTTGCGCAACAGTTCAGCAGGTACGTTTGCAGCCAGTGGCCTCTTCGTTGGCCATCCGCCACTGGGCCCCCTCCTTTATGAAGTAAACCGGAAACATTGGAACCTCTTGGAAACAGAGTGTGACGCACACACTTTGGCCGCTTCGCGGCGCTCAAATGGCAGTTCTTCGGCGTGGAAACAGAGTGTGTGACACACACACACACATGGCCGCCTTGCGGCGCGAAACCTCAATAGATACCTAAAGAACCCTCCTTCAAATTTAGCCTAAATGAAAATTAGACCAACCCAGGATGCCATAAAGAACGCGACCCAGACGAACAACCACCCTGATTTGCTTCAACTGGAACATGGGCGTTTGCAGGTTGAAATGTCAGGGGGTCAGTGTCTGATTCTTTAGTGAAGCGCTTTGGACTGGCCAACGCAGGCGAGTGCTCGAGATGCAGCTCCTGTTCACATTTCTTCAATAGGTTTCAATAGCAGATATTATGTGCTCCACTGGGCTGTGTTCGCCGCTGTTCGCCAAAACAAATATATTACAAATAATAATTACGCACACATAATGTACTTGGAAGACTTGAAGGTTTTCTGAAACAACATCTAAAAGACTTGCCATCTTTATCTGCAAGCGTGAGAGCATCTGCAACACCCAAGTAGAAAGCATCTGCTCCAACAAGCTCTGCGTACTCTCCAATCTTCTTCTCCGCAAAGTCATTTGGGAATCCTCCTGGTTGGCCAGCTGGGCTTTTCTAAAACATTGAAACCCATCCAAAAGTAGAGGTGGTAGGCGCAAAAGAATTGTTCGGGCCTATACTTTCAAAAGCTCAATGAGCTGGATCAATTTTTAAGGGTGCCAAAGGCCTTCAGTAAAGGGTCCACAGCCGCTCGACCTCTAAAGAATCAGAAACTTAACCTGGAACACGTCCCAGATTCCTGGAAAAACCTTGAAAACAATTGAGCACATATTTCATCATCTTTCAACCAACATCTTTCTATGATTTTCTATATGGTTACGTATGGCCTCTAGTTCCCTTCCTTTGTGAGCCACTGTTTCCAATAAATTGCAATAGGTATACTCAATTCTGTAGGGACTCTATGTTATATTAACCTACATCAAACCATGACAAAAATCACAAAACAGCCTCTAAAGAATCAGAAAAACAACAAAGCACCGGTATATATCGACGTTCCCTGATTCTTTAGGTTCTTGTTATTGTGTATATATATATTTTTTTTGTTTTTCACTATTATTGTCTATTGATCCCCCTGTCCATTCTGCAGGGGGGGTCCTGAGTGTCATTTTAAAGATAGGAAATTAATGGTGGTCCCAACCCACTGCGTAGCCTAAATTGAAGAGCCTGAGGTTTAGGGTTGCTTGAGGGAAGTTGCTTGGGGACCATGGCAAGTCTTTGTCACATTCTTTAATTTGATGACGATGTTTTTTGAGGTTGAGCAGGTCTGATTCTTTAGTGCTTGTACTTCTAAACTCATTGTTTAGAGGGTTGTTTTCTAATGGATGCTGATTCTTTAGAGTAACAGGTTGGCAGAGAGTGGGAGCCCTAAAGGATAAGGACGTCCATGTGAAAGGTTGAATTCGCGCAGGGATCTTAAAGAGCCTTAGAAAAGAAAGAAAGACAGAAAGAGCAAAGCGAAAAGGGCAAGAAAGAAAGATAGGTGCAAAAGGCCATGCGTGTCTGCCGAACGAAGGGCAAATTACCGAGTTAAAACCTGAATAGCCTAACAAGCCTTAGAAAGGAAAGAACACAGAAAGAGAAAACGAAGAGGGCAAGAGAGAAAGGTAGGTGTAAAAGGCCATGCATGTCTGCCGAACGAGCGGCAAATTGCGCCTTTCCGTTCCCACTGTGGATTATGGAAACTGCAAACCCTGTGACAAAGTGTGTATCGCTGTGTCTTCCCACTGGGTACACAGTGTGATCCTCTCGCAAAGAGGCGCCGCAGCCATTCGTGTATCCCAAATTGGTTCAGCGTCTTGAGTTCGTGGATTATGTTTTGGTTTGTTTTGTTTCACCCATGAATCAACTGAACTACATGCCGCCGGCCTCGCGGACTAAATGCCGCCGGGCTTACGGAGAATGAACGCCCCTTGTTTTTTCGCTTTACTTCTAGCTCTATTTTAGGGTAACAGAAGGAAATGATACTCGACACACTTGTGTGTCGGCGCCTTTCCTTCTGTTGTCCCTGTTCTAGTCTACTCTACCCAGGCGGTCTAAGACTAAAGTCCCGCTCCCTAACTATTGGGGATTGTGCGTTTGCGTGGCTCCTCGTAATTGGGGAAGGGAAAACATGTGTGTGTGTGTGTGTCAACCCTGTACCTAAGGGTTCCGATGTACAGTGATTCCAAGCAGGGGGCCGGAGCCAGGTCAGGGGTCTCCGGCCAATGAAGTCGCCCCCCACCTGGGTGAAAATTTACCTGCGTTTTTCCAATTTAATTTTTAATCAAGCTCTAAAGTGCTAATGCAAGATGAAAACAATGTTGAAACATCTCCAATTTTCCGGACTCCATCGCCTTTCCATTCTGCATTTTTGAGTCAAGGTCTAGTTGCACTAAAGGGAAACTTTTGTTAAACTATACTGTTCTCGCTGACCCATGCGCCTTTCTGTTCCCTCACCTTCCTTCTCAACGTGGGAACTGAGTTAACTGCAAACCAATGTCAGAGTGTGAACCGCTCAGCCGTCCCACTCGGGTGCTGGGTGTGATCCCCGTGAAAGGGGCGCTGCAACCATGCCGGAACTCATCCCTCCCTTTTATAACTGAATCTTTCCACTGACTCACCTGGTTCCACTTCCATAACTGAATTCGCTGACCAAAAAGCCGCCGGGCTTTCACGGTGAACAACCACGGCCGCCAGGCCAAAAAACGGAATTCCACTTGCGGTCAGGCATGTTTCCCTTCCCCGCCCCCCGCCGAGTTCTACTCCCCGCCTAATTAGGGCAACGCAGGGAAATGGTACTTGACACACTTGTGTGTCGGTGCCTTTCCCTTTGTTGTTCCTGTTCTAGTCTTCTCTACCCGGGCGGTCTAAGACTAAAGTCCCGCTCCCTAACTATTGCATTTAATTCGCCTCGGCTAAGTAATCAGTAACTCTAGAGTGCTAAGTAGTCATACACACACACACGGACACACACACATACTACATACACCCCCTCCCTGCCCCCCCCTTTCTTTCTTACGCTTTCGGTCGTTTCTTGGGCTTTCTCTCTGGCTTTTTAGTTGTTCTTGAGGCTTGTTTCCCTGCCCCAGTCAAGGGCTAAGTATTCACCTTTTTTCTACACCTATCTTTCTCTCTTGCCCTCTTAGCGCTGCTCTTTCTGTGTTTCTTTCTTTTGTTTCTAAGGCTTTTTAGGTGCCTATTCCGGTCCTTCGCACGAGCGCCGCAAAGCGGCGCCGTGTGTGTGTCAACCCCTGTACCTAAGGGTTCCGATGTACAGTGATTCCAAGCAGGGGGCCGGAGCCAGGTGGGGGGTCTCCGGCCAATGAAGACGCCCCCCACCTGGGTGAATCAAGCTCTAAAGTGCTAACGCAAGATGAAAACAATGTTGAAACATTTCCAATTTTCCGGACTCCATCGCCTTTCCGTTCTGCATTTTTGAGTCAAGGTCTAGTTGCACTAAAGGGAAACTTTTGTTAAACTATACTGTTCTCGCTGACCCATGCGCCTTTCTGTTCCCTCACCTTCCTTCTCAACGTGGGAACTGAGTTAACTGCAAACCAATGTCAGAGTGTGTGTTCCACACTCTGTTTCCAAGAGTTTCCAATGTTTCCGGTTTGCTTCACACAGCAGGGGGCCATCCCCCTCCCCAGTGGCGGATTGCCAACGAAGAGGCCACTGGGGGGGAGGGCTGCAAACGTACCTGCTGAACTGTTGTGCAACCTGTTCTCCTTTTGGTTTGCTTCTGAAGCGGCGTTTAAAATGCAACCACCTCACTGTGACTTTTTTGAGCCTGAACAACATAAGAAATCATAAGAATACTGCAGGGCCCAAGGTTGGCCACTACCGTTTGTGGCTTTTCTTGAAGGCATTCCTGTCACTGTCACTAGACCCCCCAACAGGCCAAACTTCTCCAAGCGAGGGGCGCGGCGACGAGTGCGCCAGGATGGCGCTGGGCCTGACGCAGCTTGTTTTGGTGAAACTTGTGACTGAGGGTCAGGAGATCCTGGCACCTAACCACGCTTCAAGACGGGACAATGTTTTGAAGCGTGGCTGGAAATTTTTTGTGCTTTTAAGTGCGCGTCCTTTTCTTCTATACCCTTTGATAGCCTGGGTGAAGCTTAACTTAAGGTCTTTCAAACACATTCCCAGGGGCGGCGCCCAATTTAAAATTTTTAGAACTAGTAATTGTATCTGTTGAAATAACAATTTTAGAGAGATAGAGAGAGAGTGAGCGTAGCTGAAACATTTTGAGCAGGTCAGGGTCACAGTTTCTTCTGGAGGGGGCAAGGTTGAGGCGAGTTCGGCGTCCACAGAGGGTGGGGCTGTTGGGAGCTGATGCGACCCCCGCACTATATTCGCACTACAAAGTTGCTACTTAAAAGGAACCCCCCGCATTACATGAGTATTACAGAGTTGCCAGCAACTCTGGCAGGCTACTCCCCGTACCGCACTGTACCACAAAGTTGCCAGTGTGTGAGGCTGGTTAGGTTGTGCTACAAAGCTGCCAGTTCCGAGCCTCGAACTCAAAGAAACCGCTTCCCATGCTGCATGGCGTCTAAAGAATGTCGAAACAGGAGGTGTTTTGTAGAGGTATTTTACAAGTACATCTACCCACCTACGCATCCTACATCTAATACGCCTCCTGCATCTTTACACTTACACCAATACATCTACGGTTGTACACCTACATCTATCCACCTGGATCTATCCGCCTACATGTATACCCTGCGTACGCTATATCTAGACACGCAGAGCTGTCCAATAGATGCACGCCTACATCTGTGCACGTGTGCATCTATGCATGTACATCTGGGATATCTGCGCGTAGTCTTAACACGGGATGATGGTGGCGTGATGATGAAGACATCATGATGAAGGTGATGATAGAGAAAATGAAACTGGTATATAGCTGGTCTTGAAGGAGAACCCGTCACAGGTGTTTTCCAGAATGTATATACATATATATATATACACCTATAAGTTGAGAAAGCGATGGCAAACGCTTGCAACAAATTTCCTTCAGAAATGGTTTCAGCCAGGCAACATGTGGAGGAGGACAAAAAGAACGGTCCAGACGAATTCTACAAGAATCCGCCAATGGGGGAGAGCTCAATCCTGAGAAGAGTGATTATTTCTTCAGCCTCACTCGAAGACCCGAACACATTTTTAATGTGTTTCTTCTGTCTACTTGCCGCGGTTTAAATTCACCAACGGCTGCTTAGCGAAGGCCTTGTAGCGACTTTCTGGCTGAAATAGAGTCCTGTGGTGAGCCGGACACTGAGCAAAAAAATGGGACCATCAAGAGCTTCACAGAACCATTGCTCATCCAGTTTATCCTTGAAAACTTGTTCAATCTTTCCTTTCTGCAGGGAACATTGCCCTGAATCTGGCTGTCATGACTGTCTCTGGAGTGTCAGGATCTTACTATGCGCTGCGTATTAATATGACTTCAAGCAGGTGGCCCAAGCCGAGGAATGGACGCACTGGGGCAGCTGCTCCAAGTGTGGAGGGCAAAGGCCGTTACCGGTACTTCTTCAGACTTGCTTAGCTTCACGTGGTGTGTTTTGAGCAACCAAGCAGTCCCCGCCCACAGGTTTCGGTACCGCAACATTCTGCAAATGCCAAACTACTGCGGCAAGCTCTAGCCTGAGAAAACGGAAACAAAAAACAACCTTTCGGGTTTTCCGAAGATTCTGAGGCGATGTGAACCAACGGACGCAAAAGAAGCCGGACCTTGCGAAAGCAAATGCGCCAACCAGCCATGTTTGAGTCAAAGGTTGCCGTGGCTTCTCACTTGGTTGAGGTGACTTGCTTGTATCAAAGGTGAGCGGAACTTATTCTATTTATTCATTGCGTGTAGAAAAAAACATATTGTTTGTTTGGAGCAACCAGGATGAAGAGGTCTACTGCAGTTGGACGGAATGGTCTAAGATTGGGAGCCCAGAACTTCGGGCATGTGCCATGAAAGCATGACACTCTTGTTCCCACCCGGAAAGTTTTGGTATTGCTGTAGATTTCACAGAAGTGTTCTGACCACTGCCGTGAGACCCCACATATCCCCTCGACCAAGCATCCGACTAAGCGTCATGACATCAATGAGCTACCACAGTGACAACTAATTACAATGACGAATGACAATGAGAACAGCAACAGGAAAGACGACCACGACCAATGATAGGCAACAGTTAACATATCAAAGTGGCAGGAACAATGACGGACAAGACTTTACGAGACATCAATAGCAAACAATCTGCAAACAAGAGTTGGAGCAAGCTACACTGACGGCGTACGTGACAAAGCAGCAATTGCACCGCCAAGTCAAAATGAGAAAAGCTACAACCACTACGGACATAATCACAGCACCAATGCTAAGGCTGCCAAGACATGCGCTACCTCGTAACGTTCTAGTACTTTACTACTATATACTACTACTACTACTACTAC